ACGGAATAGGTAAATGGACACTAAAGACAACCTTAGGACGCACCTAGCTACAAAGTAGGAACAGAGAAGCGAAGCTTCATATTACCACTTAGAACATTAAGGGAACAGAAAAGCCCACTTACGAGAGATGAACCCGCGTTGATCCACCAGTGCAGGCTCGGCAGAGAACCATTTGCCGCCTTGTCACCTGATTGACAGCACCACGAGTGGATGTATCACTTTTTCCTTTCACTCGAGTCCCTTGCTGAAGCTGCCAGATCCCATAGGGACGGATCTCATCACTACAAAATACTCACTCATAATCTTACTTACTTCCACTCCCATCTGAACTGATCAAAAGGGCAAGGCTGTGAGGCAGCCAAATGAGTCAATTTAAATTGGTCACAACATGGACGCTCAGACTTACCCGAAGAACGGGAAAGATATTCATCATGGATGGGACTATGCTGACGTTTGGACCGATAAGGCCAGTCAATTAAGGCATGAAGTGCAGAAAGGTGGACGAGGCGAACTGGTGCTAAAAGACCCCGGATCCTAGTTAGCGCCTGGCTAGCGATATTACCTAGGACGATACTTGCCGTTCCAGGCTTGGGGTTCGTTCGCCGTTGACAGATCCATCCAGACGGTCTGGGACTAATTGGCTGGAGCAACCCATGGCCGTTGGGCCTCGGAAATTTAATTAGATTGAGCGGCGCCCAATCAAAAATACCATGAAGAAAACCGGAAATTCCACAAAAAGGTAAATAAAAAAAAAGAATAGGGAAAAAAAGGAAAAATAACAGTAATTCGAAACAAATTGGTATGAATAAGTAACAAAATTTGTGAGAACACGGGAAGCGAGTAAAATGAGCTTTATACTTTGGTCATTTCTGAAAGCACTGAATTTCTTACCATCTATTAGTAGTACTGTTTTGGTTCCCTAAAAGAGTAATAATGACAGAAAGTCAGCCGATTCCTTCCCGTCCTTTTCCAAGTCAAAGTGAAAAGTACATTCCCCTCTCCCTTTTCGCCGTTTCGGCCGACGGGTGGTGGTTAAAAGCCTCCTCTGGGGACTTGACGCCGTCGTCGTTACGCATGCTCCCCATTATCGGCCGTTTTCGCCCTCTGGTTGGAGCTTCTAAGACCATTCCACTTCCCGGCTTAGGGCGGTGGTCTTCTCCACAGGGAGGAACCATGCTCCTCAACCGTCTAATGAGATTATTTCCTCCTAATTTCTGTTCAAGACAATTACCCTAACTAACCTTCGGGTCCTATACCGGGGTTCCCGGTTGTTCAAGGCCAAGTGAAAAACAACTCCCCACCACCTACCCACTATTATTACCCACCTGTGGCTTAGACATTTGCTGCTCACTGCCCTTTCCTTCTCTAGCAATACCAATGCTGCCCCTCCTGAGGGTTACCGAACAGTGTGCTATGCATATACTCCGTACGCAACTTCCTCTTCCCTCCCACACCCACATAAAGCACCTAAAAAGCACCCCAAATGGACCAACCAAGTTCAAGTTAGGATCAGTAGGAAAGTTCGAAGATAATGCGGTCTAAATTAAGATGCAGCACAAGACATTTTCGATTGTTCTGCCTTCATGCGTATGCCAGGAAGTATTCCATCCTACAACTCACAAAAACACTTTTCGGGTATAAAAAACACAGACAAGACATCTATGTACCAATACTACTATCTATACTTCGAAAGGACCAACCTACCTACACCCGGAGTGAAACAGGATAATGCACCTGAATAGAGTATCGTCGTGTGTTAATATCGACTGTGTGTCTCCATCCTGTTCACAGCATTAATATCACTCTTATTATCCATTTGTATTTGTGTTTTTTTTTTTCTCTATCAGTACGTTTATGGTCATGACGACGATTATGTTGACGGTTATCATCATGGCCGACCTAAAAGGGACTCGCGTCCCAGCTTGAGCTTTTCTTGGGTAAGTTCGGAGCAGACAGTCAACAAGTCTTGGTAGGAGGTGGGCAGGTACCTTAGGTAAGGCTAGGACGGAGTTGATTGCATCCATCCTGTTTCGCCAGCCAACTCACCAACCAACCAACCGAGTCATTAACATGACCGAGGCTGGGCTCGAACGTTCTTCCGGAGAGGTTTGACCGCCAGTAAGGCCCTTCCCGTCAAGTATAGTACCCGGGTGTGGAACCGTTTTGATAATCATCGCCGCGTTGATAATAATATTTTATTATTATTTTGGTTAAGCCCAGTGCCGGTTTGATTCTTGCTCTGAATGGGGAGGAGGGGGTGGGATTATTGTTGAGGGAAAGATGAATCTCATCATTTCATTATCATGATGATGATCAGTGTTGATTTATTTTATTGTAGTTTTCTTCTTCCTTTTCCCTTCGTTTCCTTATTCCCTCCTTATTTACTTTGTTATGCGCCCACAGACAGTACTCAAGCCAATGTACCAGATAGATAAATAGATTACTTTTATATCTCACTAATGGAAGCACCGCAGTATCTGATACTCTTCCGTTGTGACTTGACGGCTGGGCGTGGACCTTAACCCTTTCTGTCTGACTTACAATTGGACTAAAAGGCAGTGAGTGAGGAGGAGAGGAGGAGGAGGAGGAGGAGGGGAGGATTAACGGCTTTCCCTCGAGGGGCAAATGAGATTGAGACAGAACAGGAAAACGGAATAGGATAGGAAGAAGGGGAGGGGGAAGGATAAAGAAAAAACAATAATAAAAAATAAAAAAGAATAAAATAAAATAAAATAAAAATAATCAAAAAATAATAACGACCGCTAACTAATGATCTCTAGTAATAATGTTTATTTATTTAACGGTTTCTCGAACCCACTGGCCCTGGCCTCGCCTCTTCGTTAGCTTCCTTTTCCCTCCCCATAGCAGCAATATTACTGCTGAGCTTCTTATTTGCTGCGCCAACCAGCTGTCAACGGTCCCCGATGATCTCTCTTCTTATGCATCTCCAGACGTTTCATCTGTCTTGTCTGGCCCTTTCTCCCTTTCCCTGACTCTCTTTTCCTTCCCGTCTTCTACTTCTTTACCTCTTCTTCTTCTTCTTCTTCCATTTACCCTCGTTGACTATCCCACTCTGTTTGACTCTTGCTTATACTTAACTGGTGCCCACTGCTACCTCTAGTACATTCTTCAGCCCCAGAAGTATTCTTCACTGTTCAGACACTACTATATTTTGATCCCTACTATATCTCGCTCGATTCCAGCTTGACGCCATCGCCTCGACACCTATCGGACATATCAACTTTCTCTCCGACCTGAAGGCCCCGTCAATATATATGACAGTCGCCAGACGAATACTCTTGTCTGCATTATCGCTTTGCTTTCCATCCATTTCCTCCTTGCACACCCACTCTAGAAGTCTCGGAGTCTAACTGGCGGCCTCTCTTATTTTACCCTATCGACACTGCCGCGGTGCCACCAATACACTCGCCACTAACTAGTGGAGTTTTTTTTCCCGGAAAACAGAAGAAGAATCAACAAGGGTACTAATTCATCTCACTGGTTGGGACGTCTTTGGTAACCCAGGCTATCTCTCTTTCCTATTTTCGGTTGATATATTCTTGATCTCTTTCATCTTCTCGTTATCCTACAACTTCTTCCCCTCCCCCAGTTCGTTTCACCTCTGCATCTAGTCTGGTTGGGCTTCTGAGCTATCATTTTCTATACATCTTGGCATATGGTGCTCTTTGCTATACATATCTTTACTTGAGAAAGGAATTTTCCGCTGCGAACCGCGCATATGATTGCGTTACAAAATCACGCTATCCTGCCTCCTCCCGCCAAAGTGGATATCTCACTGCTGCTGAAGCCTCAGGATGAAGAGGAAGCCGCCTCGGTGACTACAGCGCCTAGCTACCCACCCAGCGCAATCCCACCACCCTCGGTGGCACCGACGTTGCCAGTGGCTGCCCCAGCGTCGTTGTCCTCGGTCCCTCCAGTGCCCCAGCTTACGTCCAAGATCCCGGCTACGGTGCCTGCCAAGCGCCTTCAACCTGCCCACACAGCAGAGTCGCCGGCTAAAAAGCAATCCAAGTGGTCCCCGGAGGAAGATGCCCTGATCATTGAGCTACGAGGGAGTGGCATGAAATGGGAGGATATTAGCAAACGGCTTCCTGGCCGAAGTGCCATCAGTTGCCGTCTACACTATCAGAATTATTTGGAACGCAGAAGTGAGTGGGATGAGGACAAGAAGAACAAACTTGCGAGGTTATATGAAAGGTATGTTCTATGCGACAGCGAGGCGGTGCCTGGAGATTAATCAAACGGTTGTTGATTGTCATTGCAGATTTAAGGCAGAGATGTGGTCAAAGGTAGCAGAGGAGATGGCCATTCCGTGGAGGGCTGCAGAAGCCATGCACTGGCAACTGGGAGAACAGGAAATGGCGCGTCGAGCGGGAGTAGTCCCATTCTCATTATCAAGTACCGCCATAGATCCACCAGCGCCCCGAACTCGCAGAGCCAGCACGTCTCTAGCTCGACCGAGAAAAGGGTCGACATCTCGTCCAATCCCTCCTCCGCCGCAACTTCCTTCGGTGGAAGAACTTACCGCTGGAGTTCCTGCATTTGCACCGCACCCAACTTTTCCGGCTCCTCGCGAACCCTATAGATTGGGGCGACCCTTGGACCTGGGTGGTCACAGTGGTCATTTGGGACCCAACCTCGGTCTGCCCCCTCGAACCCTCCCGTAGAGGGTATGAAGAAAACGATGTCTATGCCTGTGTGTTTTGCGTTATTACGAATTGCATAGCGCTGGTTGGAGGTATATCTTCTTCACTCATGGGAGGGCTTGTCATATAAGAGCTCTTCCGAGTGCGTGTGCGCGCTTTTTTCATTATCCTCATCTGGCTTTGATCTTGCTACACATGAAAAGGCACCTTCGAGAGGAGGCCTCAATTTAACGAGTCCAATGCTCGTATCGTCATTTCTGTCGTGAGTGCTATGCAGATGTGGGAGACGGGCTTCGAGGCTGGATCTCGATGATCCCACTGCATTCATGTATCTCATGGTGATCCTGGGTTTGTCCGTGTTGCGATCGCCCACCAATTGTCTTTCTCATATCCTGATTCCAGGACATGGCCTCCCGCCTTGTTGATATCCTGCTCGAGTTCCGACTCCTTGTAAAGGTGGTAATACCGATGGAACACCTTGGGCTCGTTGGAAGGAGCGTCCGCAGAAGGGGTTCCCTTCATGACCCAGGGAACCATTATATCTTGCGGATCACCTTTGTCCCAACCTCTACGGCTGCTTTTCTGTTCCAGGGCCCAAGCATAGATCAGCGCTCTCCCGCCCGGAGAATCTTCGGTAGCAGGTTTCAGCGTACGCAGGATCTCGCGAATAGCTTGAACCCTTCGTTCAGGAGTGGACAGGTGGTGGACGACAGCAATCGAGATGGCGAAGTCGAAAAAGGAATCGGGATGTGGGAGGTGGAGAATATCGGCTATGATGGTTGAATGTGGCTGATGCTTTTGTGCAATTTGGGCCAAATTCGCGGATCTGACATGGAATGATCAGCTTTTGAATACAATGGGAGGTAAATGCCTGCGTACAACAGGCTCTTTGGGACAGGAATGACATGAGAATACCCATATACGAAGTACGGTAGATAGAAAGAAACAAAACTGAAATTGAATTCCAATATTCCAAGACGAGACGAGATATTCTGCAAGGAAAAGAAACATACCTATCCGAAGCAACAATAAAGACCTCGCGGTTCACGGCCAGATACTTGCCATTGCCACATCCCACATCCAAACCAACGGAACCGGGCTCTAAACCTCTGAGAAACTGTTCCACAATGGGCCAAGGCTGTCGAAGGGTTAACACAGAATCCCGAGATTGCAATTGGAATATCGAGGAGGGGTTGAGTTCGGCAGGAAAAGAAGCGGTAGTACCTTATAACGAGTGGAGGAAAAATGACTGGCAATTTGTTGGTACACTTCATGGACATTCTGCTCTTCATACGATTCCTGATCAGCCGAGGGAATGTTTGCCAGGGCTGGAACATTCGGGGCAGCCATCCTTTTTGTTGGTGGTTTTCCCTCTTGGTTTCCCACACTGAATGAACACTGATTCTTCAGATACCCCTCCCACGATAGAAATTAAATTTGTTGTTTCTACGAGAGTTTGGGGATCGTTCTCTAGAGATTTTTGCACCCCGCTGTAGGCCAGAAAGCAACCCAGATCTCTGAAATGCAGTGCGATGTAGAGGTTGATTGAATGATTGGTGCTGAAAACGTGCAAAGAAACGAAACAAATTTGGATGTTTGGACCAGGAGGGGCCGAATTTCTCCTTCTACACACAAGACGTCATCTCGCACTGTGTATGCTGTATGGTATCGGTAATACTTTCTAAGAGCTCCCTGTATGTAATATTAATCATCAAGTTAGTTACCGTACACCACGTGCTCATTGGCGGTTTGGCATCAAAGGAAGCAAACATCCCCACGATTATCAGGAACATTGAGACTAGTAGCAGCAATTCCTTTGCTTGTCAATTCTTCTCGGCGTTGATTATCACCAGCCACTGCTCCGAGCTTAATTCTAGCTTTTCTCCATCTGAGAAGGCATCTTGATCTGGTCAGTATCATAATCCCCCCTTTCAGACCTTGTAAGCTATTCAAGAACGCACCTTTGGCCCCTCCCAATTCTGTATATTCTCCTATAGTGGAAGCCCCTCCGCGGGGCAGCTTGATTTATATAAAGGATGAATAGCCTGACCCTGAATATTACTTGCAATTCCACTGAGAATTCAAGTCTGTTCATGTTATTTTCTTTCGTCTTCTGCAGATTCCCCTTGGCGCTACTCTATCTAATTCGTGAACATAGAAAGAACTAAGCCCCTCCCTGCTGGACTGCAAACACGGACAGACACAACGCTGTAGATCGTTGAACTTCAGAAGCAGTTCAGCTTCCACAATCTTTCTATCTCAAGCACTCTGAAGAGCTTCAGGCTGCTCCAAAACCATGGCTTTTCAACCTACTCCGGCGGACATTTCTGTCGCCATTACCACGCCCATGGCAAGTTCCAGTGCCGAGCCACGCTTGCTAACAGAGCGTCGTATCACTCCCACTTGGAGTGTCTCGCAGCTTAAGGGCAAGCTGGAGACTATGACAGGCGTACCTCCCGGTAGCCAGCGGCTGCTTCTCAAGTCCCCCGGTCGTCCTGACCAATGGGTTGAAGGCGACGACTCCATCATTGGGGACTGGGGGTTGATGAAGGGTTGTGAGATTGAGGTAGGTCTTGTTCTTCAGTTCATCTCAATTTTTGGAATCCCCGACGTTCTCCAGTCTCTGGGATAGTAGATCCTGGTCAATGATCGGTTTCGATTTATTACCCGCTCAACGAATCCATGTGTTGCTTCATTGAAGCCCTTGGTTTTCCTTTCATTCATCTTGGAAACACGTCTCAAGCAGGAAATTACCAACTATATCATGAGCATATACTCATGTCTCAACCTAGGTTCACGACACTCGTCCTCAAGCAGCCCGGCCAAATTTCACCGACCTATCATCCGTCGAGAAATACGTCCTTCCTACATCCACCTACGAATCACTCTCGAACTCTGTTCTAGCATGGAAGAAGAACCAAAAACTTGGCCGGTTCGATCCGAACGCTCTAACCCCGGAAGAGTCGATCCGTCAGCAATCAGAGAGAGATGCTGCTGAGATTCAACAGAGAGGTGAGTAACCAGATGTCCTTGATCTGGTTACCCTGATCGGGGTGTTGGCTTAGCGAACTTTCCACTCGAAAAGGACCTGTCCTGGGGCTTGAAGCAGATGAATTCTGATGATTTTACTTATGTAGGTATTGCTGTTGATAAACGTGCTATCGTCTTGCCCTCGTCCCCGCCTCATATCCGACGAGGAACGATTCGATTTGTTGGTCCAGTGCCTACGATCCCTTTCCCGGGCGTGGACCCAAAGAAGGTGCAGTTAGATCCCGAGGCTCTCCCTCTCTGGGTGGGCATTGAGTTTGATGAGCCGTTGGGGAAGAACGATGGCAGCGTAGGCGGCCAAAGGTTCTTTACCTGCCCGAATAAGACTGGTGTTTTTGTGAAGCCCGAGAAAGTCGAGGTAGGAGACTTCCCGCCGTTGGACTTGGATGACTTGGATGATGAATTAATGGAGGAAATTTGATATGTTTCTTCCAAAGCGTCAAGTATGAACACACGGATTAACACAAAAATAAAGCAAAGCCTGCTACAATGTACTCCTAATCTCCCTCAAGTTACTCCGATAAATCTACAGCTCATGTCCCCTTGTTCATTGATAACCCACTGTCTGCAAAATAAAAGGGGAGAAGAGAAGGAAAGAACACAGGAGAAGAAAAGAATGGGGGACGAAGCCTTGAGGACGTGAGCAGACTTCCATCCCAACAATTTCACGTAACTAGCGCTAATCCAGAGGTCAAAGCCCGGTGCTGGGCAGGATATAGGTGGTGGGTGTTTCAAGATGATAGGAGACGTATAGAGCGAACTCGGACACAACGTTGCATACGAGATCACGTTGCCTTACGTCCGCCCGCTTTCTGTTTGCCCTTCGGTCGACCTTTTACGCCGGTCGGACGGCCAGTCGGTGTACTTGAATCCCCGTCCATGGCTCCGGGTTTGGTTGCCGACCCGGGAGCAGAGTCGTCGTTCTCCACCGGGACGCAGCCTTGTGTGAAGAACAGCCGGGCATCCTTATTCTGCGTATTGGCAAAACTGTAATAGTTGCCTGCAAACTCGATTAGGATCTCCATCGGTACGGGGCCAAGTCTCCCATATTGTCAAGGAAAGTTGTAATACGGAGCTCACTCACCTCTTGGTACCTGGAAGACACATCCTTTGCCGGCACTGAATCGTACACCGGAGATGTCTACTTGCACCCGACCCTGGCAGATGTAGAAAACCATGTGCATCTTCTTAGAATTCTTGGGCTTCTTAACCCCTCCAGGCGGCAGTTCCACAATCCCAGAGCCCAAGAAAGGCGAACTGAGAAGTTTGGCAAACCGCCACGAGGAGTCCTTGACACTCCTTGTCTCCATTCCAGCAGGGGCGTACGCAAGGTCTACGAGCGACTACGTTAGTATACGGCAACCATAGTTAAAGGAGAGTACATACCAACGATCTCCTCTTCTTCACCAACCGCCTGGGCTTCCTCGTCCCACCTCCTGATATAGCCATGCAAAATCCCGCTTTCCTTCTCCCAGGGATCAACATATCCGTCTTCTTCATCCGAGGAATCGTCGTTTTTACCCTTCCTTGATTTAGATTTCTTATTAGGGCGGCGCTTGTTCGATTTCTGTTTCTCTGGTTCGAGTTCTTCCGTGCGAATGATCTCCTTGATGGTCGATAGCGGATACCGTTGGCCCTCCACAGCTTCACCATCGCCATAGACGCATCGTTCATTTCGCCAGTATGCAAGAGGTCTGACAGAAACACGCCCGGATCGTGTATGGGTGGCAGCGCCTTCGGAAGGAACTTCGCGCTTCAGGATATAGAGACTCCGACCCTTCAATGGCCCTGTGCGGTTGACATAGTTCTCCACCACCTTGTCCAGCTCTGCATTGCCTGAGGGACTTGGGTTTTTATCAGCTTTGTCCGATACCCTAGGCTTTTTCGACGGCCGTTCTTTCTCCACTTCATCGCTAGACTTGCGTTGCGTTCGCGGCGGCCTCCCAGGACGTTTGCGTTTTGGTGCCGGCTGTTCTTCCTCATTCTCCTCAATCTCCTGCGCCTGCGCAGCCGTGGATGCCCCGGCCCTTGCACCTTTCACACCTCTAACAACCCTTGGAACAGGTTTGGCCTGTCCTCTCTTGCTGCGGGATTCGGAGACGGTTACCGGCGAGTCCAGGTCGGCGCCAGTGTCATCTTGTTCATCTGCATGGTCGTCCGTCGAGGCATCATCGCCTGCATTGAAACTGTCCATAAAGTCATCGTGTGTCTGTGCGAATGAATGCCCGTTCTCGTCTCTGTTTAGCTGATTCTCGGTATCGCTATCGGAAAAGCCGGAGTCCATAGGCTCCTCTGTTGGTTCATCATTAAGTTTGTTGTGCCGCGCACCATTGACTTGGTTTAGAACCGGTGGCGCATTTATGGAACGACTAGTAAGTGGAGATACATCTCGTCGTGATTCCCCCCTGGCACTCCCCAGGCCTTTACCGTCTGAGGGACTGGAAGACGGTTGTTCGCGTTGCGGGCTTTGGGAGGATCGCAAGCCGGGAGTCCTCCGAGGTGAGCCAGTCAGCCCGGTCTTCATGGGAGAGCGCGCAACAGGAGGCGGGAAGTAAGAGCTCCGTCTGCTCTTTAGGAAATCGGTGGGGTTCGGACCATTCCCTGCCAAATAGTCATCATCGTTAGTATTAGCTACAATAATGACGAACTGTGAAACGCACCTTCGTCGATAGACATGCCATCCGAGCCGGTAGAATCCTCAGCTCGGTCACTGAAGCCATTCTCTTTTACGGGCGACGTCTCGGGCGAAGAGAATATCCCATCAACTTCTTCCATTCCATATTCATCACGTTTCCCTTCCTTCAACATTAACCCCGTGCGCCTGTGACAGTCACCTGCATCAGCCTCCCGAAATTCTAATAGGTGGAAGCGACTTGAACGGGAGCAGGGGATAGAACAAATACTGAACAGGGGTGATCAATGAGAACTGGCATCGATGATACCGACCTTCCAGCTTTGCCAACATTGGCATAATCGAACTCGCGAGCCTTTGCAGGGCCCCGGGGAGCCATTGTTCCGGAGATTCGGGAGCTGTATGCGGCAGCTTTGAGAGAGGCAACGAGAGGGGTTCAGTGGTGGTGAGACGCGTACGGACCGGGCAGGATGCGCGGGAAACCTGCCGTGTAAAATGTAAAGTAGGCGACTGTAGGAGATCACAGTAGTTGCGATTTAGCGGAGAGGGGAATGAAAATCCCAGGTCTTGGGGATGGCGAATGAATGCTGCGGAGGGGAGTTGGAATCCGTGAGGGCGGCGAACAAACACGCGCGGAAGCGCCGCTAGTCCGGAACCGTTTGGGACGCGTCCAGCTTTCACTTTCAACAATTCATCTCAGTTGCACTCCCCGACTACACCTTTCTTTACCTTTCGCTCGCTTATCGTGATCGCAAAGTCCCGCCTGGAACCAACACAATCATGGGCGATTCAGCAGACAACTCCACTGGCCCTCCTCCCGGGGAGTCTCCCGTTACTGCAACAGGCCTCTTCATCCCTCCAAGTATAGATCACTCTCGGCTCTTCGCCGGAGAGTCCTATGCTTACTATTCACCTTGTCCTCCTGTCATTGCAACCTCTAAAGGCACGGAAACTGCTACGAGCTCTTCACCAAATCACCTTGTCTTGGGCGTAGACGAGGCCGGACGCGGTCCAGTTCTAGGCCCCATGGTCTACAGCGCTTTCTACTTGCCCCAAGATCTGCACCATTCCCTCTTGACTCGTGATTACAGCTTCAACGACAGCAAAGTTCTCACGCCCGGCGTGCGCGCTAATCTCATGAAGCTACTATGCACCCCGGGAAATCCCCTACACGAATCCTGCGGATGGGCCGTGAAGCTACTATCAGCGCGTGACATCTCGTCCGGTATGATGCGGCCTGGAGCGGGAGCTTATAACTTGAATGCGCAGGCAATGGATGCTACAATTGAACTCATCCGTGGGATCATTGAGGATCGCAACATGGATGTTCGAGAGGTCTACATCGATACGATTGGAAACCCCGCAACCTACCAACAGAAACTCGAAAAGATATTCCCATCACTCAGAATCACCGTGGCGAAGAAGGCCGACTCGTTATATCCGTGCGTGAGTGCTGCAAGTGTTGCTGCCAAAGTCACCAGAGACGTCGCATTGGATCTCTGTCATCAGGCTATATATGAAGACGTCCATGCGGAAGATGCATCGGAGGCGGTGGTGCCACAGAGTTGGGGAAGCGGCTATCCCTCTGATTCAAAGTGTGCCAATTGGTTGAAGAAAAACATGGATCCGATCTTCGGATGGGGCAACGAATGCCGATTCAGTTGGGGCACCGCAAAAGAGTTGCTCGAATTGAAGGGAAGGCCAAAGGTCGACTGGCCTGGAGAAGAAGAAGAAGAAAATACGCAGCTCAGGGACTTCCTCTTATCTTCAACCAGTAACACTACTAAAGCTCAGCACGAGCTGCTGGAATGGTACGGGTCAAGGTCCACTGAGGTCCTCTCTTAGCCAAACATGAGTTTATCCCATATCATACGCAGATGCGGAGGTGACGATAATAATGACCAAATGATACCCACTTTCTTTATGCAACGTGATTGCTCTTAGGTTCTATGGAAGCATATGAAATTGTTGTCATCTTGCACTTATATGGGCAAGTTGAAGCGAAAACAGAATATAGCGGTTTAACATATTAAGAGGGGATAGCTTGGGGATGGTAAGCCATCGGGTATCTAAGTTAAGTACGAGAAGACGGCTGTGTGAGGCACAGGAGGCTCCCGAGGTAAAGCAAAATGCTGGCAAAAATGGCAGAAACATCTGACGCTGGCAGAACATAGCGAACTTCACAGTGTTGTAGTCGCAAAGTAGTAGTTGTCCCAAAGATACTCGTAATCGTCAATGACGCTGCCTACCAAATCAAGCAGAGGTTTGCCCCTCATCTTGCCGGTCAGGCCTTTCAACCAGGATCTGTGTAAAAGTCAGTAAAATACTCTATCTCCTTGTCGGTAGTGTGGGAAAGGCGGGAGTGCCGTACTTGGTAATGTTTTCATAGAAGGCCCCACGCATAAACCACCAACCCATCGCCCAACCTCTCTTCTTCAGTTCCTCCCGCTCCAGCCCGGTCAATCCCCGAAGGCCGCCTGCAACTCTTTCGCGAAGATCAGCTTTGGCTAGTTGTCGACAGCCATACTCCATGCCGAACCCGATAAGCCAGGGTTTCCAACTCCGCCTGTCTTTGCAGTATCGTTGCAGCATAAGCGCATAGACTACTGGTCGGAGGATGTATAGAATCTCAGCGAATTGGCCCTGGCCAGTGACTCGGTGCAACAGCGTCTTCGGTGGCTTGATATCGTCGGCCGTAAGAACTTTAGATATCAAGTAGTTCGAAAGGTCGTCCACATTAGGCAAAGAAGGAAGCGACAGGCCAGTGCGAGGCATAGTCCAGCACAAATCCGACGACTTTTCGCTAACAGGTGTCTGCATGCCATTCCAGTCGCTATTGTCCTCCTCTTCTAGCGATCTGGGATCTACTTCCCGTTCAGGAAGTGGGGGACTGACTAATGGTCTAGAGTTGGTGAGACGAAGGAGCAACAGGCGACAGATGGCCTTAGCGGCTTCGATTAGGACGATGACACGCCAGCGCACCTTCTCGCCACGACGCCGAGCCGCCATCTCCCACAGCAGTTCCGTATACTGAATCATCTGTAGTGCGATGGCGATCCTCTGATACAGTGAAGAGTGGGAGGTCCAATACTTCGTGTAGCGCGCATGAGGTGATGGTGTAGGCCGCGGGATCGTTGAAGGTAACCTAGAAATGACTCGCGAAACCAAAGAGTCATGGTAGAGAGACAGAAGCTGTACCCCTGAATGCACTTTTTTTCGCAAAAGTCAGTATTAAATGAACGACTTCTTCGTCTGAGAGTGAAACATTAGGAACGCTTGAATAACGTACCGCACTCTGAGCTTATCTCCGAATCTCGGTATCGTCCTACACATGGTCTTCAGCTTTCCATTTCCTCGGCCAAGTTCCTGTACCTCAAGCTTCATGCACTAACCTGGGATGATGTATGTTAGAGACCTCAACGCGGACTCCACTTGGCCCACAGAGCTAGCATTCTTCGTCACGAACTCCTCGTACAGTGGAAGCCATTTGGAAGGTTGCAACAGTGCAGCAGGTATCGGGTTTTGGGCGCGCCATGATGATTCCATATTCAGGGCAAAACCATGGAAAATATAGGGTGAGCTTGATGTCTTTGATATCAAGAAGTGCCTTGAAATAATATGAGTGGAGGTCCCCCCAAGCGTACCCAGTCGTGTCAGCTGGGCTGGAAGAACGACTTTATCTACGGCGTGAGCTAGTTCCGGGTGGGTAGGGAGAGGTAGGCCGAGGTAGGCACCAGGGAAGCGGCTAAGGCACGTGTCGCAAGCTTGCCAAGAAATGCGATATTACAATAATACAGTGATCATATTAGAAAGCATGGACAAACAAGCGATAATGCTTGGGTTGTATTGGAAGCCCCGATAGAAAAACATTGGCATCTATCTACTGCCTAGGTAGCTTTTGTGGAAGCTCTCCTGTAAACCCAAGCGCAGCCCTTAAAGCCCAGTGTACTGTGTTCACTCATCTGCAAACTTCCAAAGGCCACCGGGACGCATTGCCTCTCGATATCGGTCTCGCACCTTCTCCCTTTCAATCTCCCTTGCCTCCTCATGATCACGCTGTAATTCCTGTGTATCAGGCATATCTGTGCGCCAGTATCCCGGTGGCGATCCCGATCGCTGGTGGTGATGCCTATGCTTCCCAAACCGATTGGCAATAAGCCTGGCGTTCGCCTCTTGCAGAAGGCTATTTCGATCCTCCGTGCTTAGTTTATCTAGTATATGTGCTTCCTCTCCCAAATAGTCCTCCAAAATCTTCCGCTCTTCCTGTTCTCTGTCCTTATTAGAGGTTGCGTTCGTCGGAAGACCGCCCAGGCGTGCCATGGCATGGAACTTGCCTCCGCAGCAGCTGGGGCGCATACAACCCTTTGCACACTTGCGCTCGTCTGTGGTGCGGATGACGCTGCTAAACGCAAAATTTACCCCTTGGTTATAGTTTGGATTAATCCTGAAATGGGCGAGTTCGAGACAATGCAGCGGCAAAGTTCTATATGGTATACGCGTGGCATTCTCCTTTACCCGTTGTGCTTCGCTTCCCGAAGACGAGGTGGCCTGAGTGAACCCATGTTGAATATCAAGTTTCGAACCCCCCTGCATGATTTCTGGTTCAGCATTTGTCTGTCCTCCCCTGCTATTATTAGATGTTTGTGACAAAGTTCGTCCAACAGAAGAAGAGCGCTGCCCTGTGCGGCCCCTTGTGAATTTTTCATTCATATTCTTGGGTTGGAGCTGTTGTTTAACAGGCACCGGTCCTTCAAGAAGACCCTCCAGTCTCTGTACGGCAAATTGGCCTTCCTTTCCTGGGTCTGGATGTGGCGACCTAGCTTCAATCGCCGACGTGTTAAATCGGTTTGGTGTAGCGACGTTCACGTCATTCTCTTCGCCATCCTCAGCCATCGCCGAGATGGGGTATTTGAGTCTCGGTTTTGATCCCTTCGCGGCTGCTGTGCCTAACCGTTGGTCATGTCTATTGATGCTTGTGTTGCCATTGACCGATTGCAGTACCGTGGGTCGTCTCGAGAATGATTGAGATGTTGCTGGGGGCAGGCCTTTGCGTCTGGCTTCAATCGCTGGTGAAGCCGCTCGCTCGGAGCCAATTTCCTTATACTTCTTCCTCTTAGTTGGCGTTTCAACCAAGACACCAACCTCGTCTAGGTCCTGGGTCTCAATAGCCCCGCAACTAGATAATGGCCCCCCCAAAGGGCTAGATGACAAGCCCTCGTCTTTGATAGAGATAGGCTGGCTTGAACCACTGTTACCATGATTAGGGGCATTATCGTGAAGTGTTGGGCATATTTGATGAGGCGGCTGTGATGCTGAACGTTTCCGTTTGATAGTTGCGGCCGGAGCAGTTGCACTCTGAGCTGCAGCTGGCTCCCTTGGCACGTCGGCATTCGAAGATTCATCATAAGCACCTAGTCCTAAAGTATGCATAATAGGGGCGGAAGCTCCTCGCAAAACTGGATGCATGGCCGATTCCGAAGAGTTTATTGGTATAGATGTTGATAAGTTAGTGAATAAGCGTGAATGTTCTTCACAGCTGTTTCTCTTAGCCCGCTGAAAATCAACTGCTTCCCCATCGAGCACCAATGTGAAATTGTCGCGGTCGAGGCTCTTTCTCCAATGCATTAATTTCTTTTTGTGACGTTTGACTTGTCTTCGAAGTTCGCCAGAGGCTCTCATAAGCGTCTGAGCTTCTGTGTAAAGCGCGGCATACAAGTCCCTCACAGCCATTATCTCAGTAGAGTCGAAGCTCTCGGAGTCCCTGCGGTTGGCACATATACGATCTATAGCACGATGCGGCGCGTACGTTGCTTCCAGTTCGAGGGACTTCTGAGCAGTAACTTGGTCTTCAGTGGACCCAACATCCCCGAGACGCAGCTCATCCCGTAGAAGAGTAACCTCATCCTTTAAGGCTGTCAATTCTGCATCCGCTCTTTTCCGTGCTTCATCTGCAGTTTTAAACCTCTCCTCGGCCGCCTGCACCTTCGCGTCTCGGAGAGCAAGTTCTTGTTGAAGGGTCTTGTGGACATCTTTGAAACAATCGCCAAAGGCTTGAGTAACAGAGATTTGGAACTGTTCAAGAGCCTCCATTGATTAAGACCTATGCTACATACAGGAGAGGTCTCCCTAAGGTACGTAGTAGCATAGGGCGGCTATGACACGCGACTTTGACGCGCAAAGATAGATACCCGCAGTAATACCAGTAGTTTCCTGATTGTATGAAGTACAGAGGACCGCTATATTACCTCGGCACGTACCGTATCGTTCGAGACATCGGTCCGCCATACATACCGTATCAACCACCCTCCGATAAGCCTCCGCCCTGACATTATTAGGCGGACGGGCGGAATAGGAAGTGGTACCTCCGCCTCAAGAGGGCGTTCATCCAGCAAGCACTGACTTGTGCAGTCGGTTGTTCCGAATTTCGTGACTGTCTTTACCCCAGCATTGCATTCCCAGTCACAAAATGCCAAAGAGGCGCAATGTTGAAGATCTTCCCCCGCCAAAGCGTCTCCGCATGACCCCCAACGGCCATCTCGATCACATATCCAGACTAAGTGACGAGCTCCTACTTCATATATTGTCTTTTCTTCCCCTCCCCTCTCTGCTTGTCTGCCAACAGTATGTCCTCCTCAATTAGAGTACCGGCCTCACAGCTCATCCCTTCTCCCCACATAGACTCTCGCGTCGGTTCCATGTCTTAGCTGGAGATTCGGAGCTCTGGAAAAGACAGTATTATTCTCGATGGGTACGGCCTCGAGCGCGTCGGTTACCAAATGCTAGGCGTTCACTATCCCGCTCTGAAATCGAGTATTCGCCTAGGGTGTCTACCTGGCTTGACCACAGTCACTTGGCAAAGGAAGGAGTGGCCACAAATTGGAAACGACAGTATCGTCTCCGACACAACTGGTCGAGGGGAGTCTGTCGGGTCACAGAGATCGAGTTTCCACAACCGCTTCGTCGACAGATGCTAGTAACATTTTGTGCTGGCATTGTGTTTACAGCGGATTCAGATCACGGCTTAAGAGCTTGGGCCGCCGAAAAGCCTGAACAATGCTTAGCAAGGTCTCCTTTGGCAAAATCGCCGTCGCGATCGTTACCTGCTCCCACAGCAATGGCGGCTGCAACGAGCGGTCCACAGCAGAGCTTAATAGATGTCACAATTGGGTTTGAGGATGGCCGTCTCGGCGTCTATACTCTAGACACAACAAATTTCTGGATTGAAACGCGCTTCGCCTACGTCGAAGGCACCGGTGAAGCCATCACGGCAATGGCCTCGTACTCCCCTTTCCTGCTTTTAGTTTCTCAACACAAGGTTCTATCTTTGTATGAAACAATCACAGACGAAGACGGTTGGTCATTAACTCCACGACTACTGACTACTCTCAAGGCGGACAGTATATTGGAGCCAATATCGCTATCTGTCCGCGCTGCGGGTCCCAAAATAGTAGCGTCTATAGTGTACAGTTTTTACCATATAGGCTGCGGCTGGTCACTAGGTATTCAAGAATTGCAATTCGGCTTGGACGGTCAGCAGCTGAGTTCTCGGCTTGCTACCACAGTCGACTGCCAATACGGGATTGTGTTCCCAACTTCTCGCGGCCGGTCAAAAAGGGACTATCGCACCACAGATGTGGTAGGCTCCGGGAATGAGCTAAATACAAGGCTACCCGGACCTTCAATATCACACTATGAACCACCAACCTCGGTGTCCTATTCTCATCCTTACCTTTTGACTTCGCACGCGGACAATACCTTGACTGTGTACCTTGTGGTCTCCACTTCGACGAGCCTTTCCGTGACAAGCTGCCAGCGTCTCTGGGGCCATACATCGTCCGTCTCAGCCGTGCAGGTTAGTGATCGTGGTAAGGCAGTTTCGGTGAGTTCTAGAGGAGATGACATCAGAATATGGGAACTCGAATCTTTGGTCTCTTCACTCGGAGGGCACAGGGCGTTAAGGGACGGGAATAGCATCCGAGTAAGCCCAGGAAATAGGGCAGATCAGCGACATGATAGCCTTGACTTAGTGTCGGAGTCTTCTCAGGGTCAGCTCAACGCAACCCGATCAAGCTCGGTCGATAATACCTACGGGTTAACGAGGATGCACAATTGTGTTGGCTTCGATGATGAGCGAGTCCTTCTACTCCGCGAAAAGGAAGTTGGGACGCAGATGCTCGAACTATATGACTTCACGTGAAATGACAATTTTGTAATCTATAGATACCATAGATCAGAATTCAAGCCTGGTCAGGAAAGCCTTTATGAACCACCTGCTATCCAAAAGTCTGACTATGTCGCTAATAAACTTCCAAGGTATTCATGGCAAAAGCAATCAGTAGGATGAGAAAAACCGAAGAGTAAGCGTAGGCCATTCCAGATCGACATGACAAAACCTCAAGTTGCAAGCAACCAAGGTGTCCGGTCCCGGAGAGGACCTTGGGAGGGAGCCATGAGAGTCACGGCGTAGTTTAAAGCGCTACCATCCTGCCCTGAAGTAACGGACAGTTTCCCTCTCCTCGTACCTTTCTTTCTCCCGCGGTCATGCTCGATGTTATGTACTGTTCGACACGAGCGGCCTACTAGGGGACAGTCTCATCACAATGTCCACACTTCTACCCTGCGATATATGGCTGCGCATACACTCGCTAATTGAAAGGCATCAAATTTGCCAGCACCTAGTGCGAAATAAATTTCTCAGCGACTGATGAAAATATTATCTAGGATATGATGAGCCTGCTTTCGTCCTCGTTGTCGCAGAGGAAAAGCAAGAGTAATGTACTAATCTCACGAAGGTCTGGTTAGGGACCCCGCCAAAGACCTCTCCTTTCTCATCGTGACTGCTGCGATCGCCACCACATGTACGGCATAATGGCGGATCGCTAAACGCTACCTGGAAAAGCTAAGTAGGACTTGGCTTAAGGGCAGAGCATGGGTGTGGGTATGGCGCGAAAAGCCAGGATCACACCCAGGTCTGGAAGCGGGCAGGTGTTGTGTGTTGCGGCCTCCCGGCGTTAAAGCCCTGCAGGAACCACGGGAAGCGCTCCCCCGCACCGACTGTCCGCATGTCTGATTTATTTTTCCTTCTGGTTATTATTTATCGGCGCTAGCAAGAAATCCCTACCTAAATTTCTGATCGCCCAGTTTCCACCCCCCTCTCAAACCCTCACCTGGCCATCACCATCCTCTCTCTTACTTACCTCTTCACCCCAAAAGTTCTTTACCAGTTCACCTACACCCTATATTCACAATGAGTTTCCAAGCTGGAGGTCGTGGCTGCTTCAACTGTGAGTCCTTGCCCCCCGCTCTGTTCCGTCGATTGTCAAACCTGAGCCCTTCGATTCTGTCATGCACCTTGTGTGCCTCCATTCCCGCAGCTCCAGCCGAGGGGGAGAAAAAAACGGTTTTTCTTGATCATGATTGCCCATCATCCACCGAGTTTTACTTGGTGTCCTTAGTTTACAGCTGGGATCCCTTGGCCTTCCATGATAACCTATCTATCTGTCCCATTTTTCTCATAGCGAATGGTCCTGCCGTCTTAGCGCGGTGGCTACCATTCCTGGTGAAGCGAATTTCTGGATTGGCACGGAAAAGCTAACAAAAGATCTTCATTCATTTTAGGCGGTGATGCTTCCCACCAGGTAAACCTTTCCCTGTCACCATCGTCTCCTCATAGCATCCTCGGCCAGCATTTTCTGGGATTGTCTCTATAATCATGGTTTGGCAACGTTCTAATCTCTAATCTCTACAGGCCCGTGACTGTCCCAAGAAGGGCACTCCTACCTGGTATGCTTAACTTGCACTGTCCATTTTCCTCTTACTGTAAACATTATTGACTAAATTCGGTAGCTACAACTGTGGTGGTATGTCTCCCGACCTTGTCTCTACATCAATGACCAATCTCCCTTATTCCTTTTCGTTCACTGGCCCATTTTCATTGCGCCTCTTTCCGTTGATTCTTAGCCACTCTATCTAACCACACCTTTGTACCATCACAGGACAGGGACACGTCAGTAAGTCAACCAGCGAATTCTCCATTTCTCCGTCTTTTGATCATATATATATATATATATATATATATCTTCCTTTGTCTTGCCAAGATGCTAACAAGCCTATCATGCAGGCCGTGAATGCACTGTAGCACCCAAGGAGAAGTCCTGCTACCGCTGCGGTGGTGTGGGCCACATCTCCCGTGAGTGCCAGGCTAGCCCCGCCGAGGGTTTCGGTGGTGCTGCTGCTGGTGGTGGCCAGGAGTGCTACAAGTGCGGCCGTGTCGGTCACATTGCTAGGAACTGCCCTCAGAGCGGTGGCTACGGTGGTGGCTTTGGCGGCCGTCAGCAGACTTGCTACTCTTGCGGTGGCTTCGGACACATGGCTCGCGACTGCACCAACGGACAGAAGTGCTACAACTGTAGGCTATTGCACCCTTCACAATCTCTCAGGTTCAGTCAGACACGCTAACACTGTTTTCCTAGGCGGTGAGGTCGGCCACGTCTCCCGCGACTGCCCTACGGAGGCCAAGGGTGAGCGGGTGTGCTACAACTGCAAGCAACCTGGTCACGTCCAGGCTGCTTGCCCTAACTAAATAGTTGATCTGCATGCTGCATCGTTTGTCTTCTGTCGCGCTATCATACGCGAGACCAGGATATCGGGATGACCTTTATCGCGCTCGCCGTGATGATCTACAATCTCTTTACCCCGATTTCTCTGGTCTAATGCACGACTTGGCTTGCGAGCCTGTCTCTGATTGACTTCCTCCGCCGGCTGACAATGATATCCAAAATGATATCCAGTTATCGTGGAATCAAACGGATGAAGTCCGGTGTTCCAAACAATAAAAGCGGGAGAATCAGTTTGTAAGACTGATAAGTGGTGGCCTGGGTTTGCGGGTGGGCAAACATGTGAAATGATGTGTAATGCGGAAGAAAACTTGTCCACAAAATTAGCATATGAAAGCAATTTCAATTCCACGGTTCCATCTTAGTCAGGCCTTTGCCTGCTCGGTATGTACCTCCAGGGAATCGTTAGGGGAGTAGTCTTTATCTGTCAGAAAGAGGGTGGAAACAATATTTTTTTGATCATTTTCAGTTCTCCGTAGCATCAGCTACTTGCATCAAAAATTACATTATTCTAAACACATCATACGCCGCGGACTTTAATGTATCGGTCGCGGTTTATGGGAACACGTTCAAGAACTGCAGCTGCACATCATGGCTCTCTTGAAGCGAGGGACATCCCCACAAAAACGCTCCTCTTCATCATGATTCTGCCCCCATTCTTCATTGAAGGGATTAAGTGCCATATGCATCACCCTTCCGAGTACCTCTCGATCTCCACGGCGTTCAACACGTTCAATAACTTCATCGAGGATCCAGCCGCGAGGCAGAAACTAAAGAAACATAACCACCCATTAGTGTCGTGGCGGGCCAGCAGCGAAACTAGTAATGGTAGGCTTACCTTTGGGTTTGTACTCTTCATGATCCTTTGTCTTTCCAAGTCTTGATCAACGCCCCAGTCTTCTATAATTCGTTGTCTCCACTTGTCAAGCCAATCTCCGACTCGTTGCCTCGCGGAATCCTCGGTGTATCCGATGCCACCAAACCCTTCGTTATGAAAGAAGATAGATGCTATCCTCTCTCTCATCTCTTTGGTCTCTATATCCGACAGCGATACGTTTGACAGTCTTCGGAAAAAGTGATTGAAGTCCAACTCCAAAGCCTCCAATGTATCGAGCAGTTCCGAAAACAGGACTTGGAAGTCAGTTTCTTTTTGACTGCGCAAGCCTAGCCTGTTGCTCATGATGCGTTTGTATTCGTTCAGGAACACCATCCTGAACTCCTTGCCTGTTCGGTCAATGATCTCCTCCGCACGTTTAATGATGGCAGGCGCGGCTTCCTCTGTCACACCATCCCTCACAAAATCTTCCTTGTCAACGTCTTCACCTGCACCAATGAGTTCTCCGAGTGACTCGCCGAGCCTAACCAGATTCCACCAGATAATGCTAGGTTGGTTCTTGTAACAATATCTCAGGAGATGGTCATCATGGTTAGGCGTGTACTGAGGATCGAAGTTGTCCATGAACGCGAATGGGCCATAATCTAATGAAAGGCCATAGATTGAAGTATTGTCAGTGTTCAACACCCCGTTCATAAATCCATATGCTTGCCAAGCAGCAACGGTCTTAGCATTTCGTCGCGCAATTTCACGGTACAACCTTGCAAACCGATTCTCTTCCGAGCCTGGCGGCCCTTCAACTTGGTCCCAGGATACATGTCTGGGAGGGTTGTCTACAGTATCAGATGACTGACTTTGGTCCAACGGCAGCATAGCGGGCAAAGCCTCCCAGCCCTGGAACACATCCTCTGCGACATACGTCGCCAATTGTCTAATCAGCTCACGGTCTCCTCGTGCCCGTAGGAGGTCAAATGTTCCGATCCTCAGCCACGATTCAGCAAATCGAGCAACTATAGCTCCGGGCTCCAAACGTTCGCGCAACACCTTTGACTGAGGCAATAGGGTTATAGACAAAGCTCGAGTGGTTGGAACACCAAGTGCAGAAAGGGCTTTGCTCGCAGTTAGTCGAAGCTGCACTAATAGGACATGCGGAAGCAATACCTTCTGATACTATGTATTCCCTGATGCTAGAGCGAAGCACAGCCTTTCCATCGGCGAAGCGGGAATAAGGAGTCCGCCCCGCACCTTTTAGTTGTAACTCATAGCGAGTACGGGTTTTCGGGTTTGTAGTTTCGAAAAGGCTGATTGCACGCTGGAAAATCAATTATTAAGCTCCATCATTGAAGAGTTGTATCTAGAAACAAGCACTTACTCCGTCGCCGAGTTGCCCAGCCCACGAGCCGCTGCGATTTGTCAATTTCGAGAAACAAAGATATTTACTGTCAGGAAACATACAATTGCCATCCTTGAAGGTATTAGTGAGTATTAATCTCCGTCTAAGAAATTGAAAGGTCTCCGACGTCTCTCACCTCCGTAACATTGTGCCCAAGGATATATGCCACCCTCGTTTTCATCCCAGTAAAATTCATTTCCCGCAACTAAAGCTTTGAACTTCGGGGAAAGCTCTTCACCGGGCTTTAAACCAAGATCATTCATGGCCTTTGGACTCACCCCCAGAAGTTCGCTCTCCTCCGCCGGCTCAGGTCTGACGAAGGTATATAAAGCACCTTTTACTAACCGTGGGCC